TGTTCCTTTATAGTAAATAAGAACAAAATACCTTTGAAGCAGGATGCCAGGAACTGATCGGTCCACCTACATGATGGAAGAATACTGCTTATTAGATTCAGTGATCTGATGACTACAAGCTTACTAGAGACAAACCGGGGCAAGGTTCTCTTTCTAAATAAAATGCACAGCTGTGGACAGGACAGGAAAGGTCTGTCTGCTCACCTGGCTGTTACAGTAGCAAGTCATCATTGCTGAGTGCCATCAGCAGCTGCAGAAACAGAACTTTTCTCTCTAGAAACTTTTGGCATTAATCATAATGTTGTTTTCTTCCTTGGCCAGTAAGCTGCTCTTATGTTTCTGCTGTCGTCTCTATATGTTGAAATGGTAGTTCAAAAATTGATTAGTTCTGTTTTCTGTAATTCCTACTTGGTTTTGTGAGTAGTTGCGAAACCAGAAGACAGTCAAATCTCATTTTGTAAATGGCTGTCTGACAAACTCTGTATTAGAGGCAAGTGACAGAAGAAAAATGGAAAACCACGGTGAAGAATAGCAGACACATTCACTCAGAGCATCTAGGAAAATTCCTGTGCAATTACATGTCCTTTTTCCCCCAAATGGCTCAAGAGGAAGAGAATTCCCAGCATTAGGTTATGTTTTTGAGTGACTTCAGTTGTATAAGTTATATGATCTTATAGCAGTCTTCCAGTGCCTGAAAGAGGCCTACAAGAAAGCTGGAGAGGGACTTTTTACAAGGGTATATGGTGATAGGACAAGCGCTAATGGCTTTAAACTGAAAGAGGGCAGATTTAGATTAGATATAAGGAAGAAATTTTTCACTCAGAGGGTGGTGAGGCAGTGGAACAGGTTGCCCAGAGAAGTTGTGGATGCCCCATCCCTGGAAGTGTTCAAGGCCAGGTTGGATGAGGCTTTGGGCAACATGGTGTAGTGGAGGGTGTCCCTGCCCATGGCAGGGGGGTTGAACTCGATGATGTATTCAGTGCTTTATGGTTAGGGTTGGAAGGGACCTCAAAGATCATAGAATTCTATGATCTATGATTCTATGATCTTTGAGGTCCCTTCCAACCCTAACCATTCTATGATTCTATAAAGTCTACATTGCTGCTCTTCAGACCTTCTCACTAAAATTTTCATTGTTACTGTAGCCCAAGTTGTACATAAACTGCCATGCTGGGTCTAACCAAAAGTCCACTTAGCCCAGGCACCTAGCCTTGGAGGACAGACAAATCTTATTGCTGAAAGCAGCCCATTTAGTCACTGTCAAGACTCCATAAACTTTTAAATAAAGCACTGAATACACATACAGACCCCAAAAATATAGTGGCTATGAATAGTCACTTGGCTTCCAGCTACCTCAGGTGATTTCTCAAGTCACATTCTGTCCACTTAGTAGGTACCAAAGGAGATCTCTCTCATTTTCCAGTCTCACCTTGAACCTTTGTAAACATTTAGCACCAACAATATCCCTGTGGCATGGTCTCCTACTAGTGCTGTTTGATACCTCCTATGTCAATTGAATACAATCAATCATAAGCTTACAATTCTATGAAATTATTTGCACAGAGAGACAACCCTTCTAGGGAACTCACCATTTAATGGGATACTTTTAAAGATGAGGTTATCCAAAAAATTGGATTCCAATTTCCAAATGTAAGCCATCCTTACAGAACTACTGATAAGGCATACTTCCGTAGCTAAATATTTATATAATGCTGCAACTTAACATAAATACATGTGATTTTAACAGTCTGTGTGCATGTGTCTGGTACATGTCTCCGTTTTTTGTGAGTTTACTTTCTTAATATACCATTTTTGCCATGAAACTTATGTAAGAGTCTTGAATGCACAGCACAGCTCACTGCTGGCAGATAGAAAACAATGGAAAGAGTAACAAAAGCAAAAATGCAGTATAGATTCAAGCTCTGCTGGGACACAAACTAAATCTTCCAAGTCCCTACAGTTTCTGATCCATAACTGTAAAGTAAACGTAAATAAAGCTGTATTTTTATCACAAGGTTAATGCATATTAGAGGGCATCTGTATCTATGTATTAAAAGAATATGCATGGACATCTTCGGAGCTAGAATACCTGTGTTCAACAGCAAGAATCACCTTCACCCAGTACAAACACTGATCTCTAAGAACCTTCCTAATCTTTCTCTGTGAAAGCTGAAATTTTTCCCTTCAATCACTGTCACTGTAATTCTAAAACTTTTTAAAATATCTAAGTCTACAAAATTTACCTGAAGTCCATCTTTACCCTGTTGAATCAGTAAAATTTACAAAAAAACACGATTAAAAAGGGGGCATGTTTTTGCAGATGAAAGAAGACATGAACATTACCATCATGCAGATACTTAGAAACTCGAGTTTCACAACAGATTGTATGTAGTGTTGACTGTACACAAAGCAGAATTTTTAGTATGACTGGTTACACAGAAGTGAAATCTGCAACTGAACAGAGGAGGAATCTAAGAGAGGAGCTAGAACTTGTTTTAACTATTGGTGTATTCCTCCTTACCATCCAAGGAGAGGAAAAAGACTCACAAGTTATGAATTCAAGTGTCCATTTTCCTACCAACCTTTAGCATGGCACTACAGCCTTCCCCTAAGAGGCAATGCAATTACACTAGGTTTACAAACTTTCACCAGGAAGCCCTATCCAAAACCACAATGCAAGAAGTTAGACAAAAGAGGACAAAGACAGGTACTCTGCTTCAAAGCCAGTTATCTAATGTCTATGCGCAAGCAGACAAGGCTAAAGTAAGCAGCGCTGTCAAGCATGATTCAGGAAATAAAAGTATCTGAAGAATGGAAGTATATAAGTACAATTACTATCCCACCTCTGTTATATCAACTGTAATTGTATAATAAACAGGCATTATTTACTTTCAAATTTATAACTTTACCTCAGTAAGAAATATATAGGACAGCTTCCTCAGAAGAACAATGTACCCTTATTACTTTTTTTTTTTTAATTAGGAAAAAAAAAAAAAAAAGACAGAACAACAGATCTTTTCCTGCAATACCTTTAGGGAAAAAATGGTTAGAAAAACACACATACAAAAAAAATCACAACAGTCAAGACTGGTTTAGAAGTAACTAGCTTCTTTTCTTTCCATTACTGATGTGAAGATGCAATCCTATTTCAAAGGAGATTAACCAACAAATGTCATCTAGAAGAGCACTGCGTTTCTTTGCATACATATGGCCCAAACCATTTTAGTTGATTACATGTAGCAAGCTAAGTTCAGCAAGACTGAGACAAAAAAAAAAAATTATCAAAGAACTGAAACAAGCAGGAGGTGGGAGGAATCCTCACTTTTCACATACTGATGTCCTCCTGTAAAGTATGTATGCTTACTATCACTCAAAATAGTTCATTCACAAAGTCATGCTGGGAAGTGATGAAGCTGGTTCAGGTGTCTATTAATTTCCTCAAAGAAACATAACTTGCAGCAAGATACCTGGATTCTCATCCAGTCTTAGCTGCCTCAGGTGATATTTCTTAAGAAAAACAATCTAAAAACCTCAACCTCATGCTAAGCTACATCTTCCCTAAGCCAGTTTTGAATTTAAACACTCTTTTGACTTGCCTTCACCTTACCACACCTGGTTTTGCTTTCTTCCATTTCCCCTGAGCTCCATTTATCCTATTTATCCATAAAAGACAACAGGTTATATTCCACATGTAGACAGCAGCTTTCTGTTCTCTCTCCCTCTTCAGTTTGTTTTCCTGTTCCTTACTTCTAGCTAATGCAAGCTTCCAATGGCTTTCAAGACAGCTCCTAAAAATCTTCTCTCTTACACTTTACTGCAGCAACTTTACACTCGGAAGCTTCTATGGCAGTCTGTAATTAAACATACTAAAACTTGGGACAGTAACTTCTGATTAAGGGCTACAATTACTGAGCGCTATACAAGGATTAACCGTACAGAAAGGAAAACATTCTCCCTTGTGGCACTTCCAACATTTTTTTGCAAGTCAGTGACCTCCAGCTGTCACAATACTTACACTTGTTTTTTCCCAATATCTTTCATGAAAGGTTGTCAAAGCACGAGGGTATGTTTCATTGCCGACAATATTTCATAACAGGAAACTTCCGTCTTATAGGTCTCAACTTTATTTCCCAGTTCTTGAGGATGAATATCCAAATTAGAACATTAAGTAGTCTTATATTTATGATGTTAGCACTCAGACTGAAGTTCCACTGTGCTGAAGTGGTACATAGCAACTTGATTTTTCCATTTTTCTCATTCTTTATGAGACCACCAAGGAAATCTAAGTTTCCATGAGCTCAGCAGTAAAAAGTAACAGAACCAGATATAAGGACCTCTAGTAAAATCAAATATACAGTCACAATTTAAAGTTAACACATAAAGATGTGCCAAATCAGGTATCAGAAACAGAATAATATACAATTAATGCCGGTTCAATATTATTTAATTCAAAACAGACTTTTGTTAAATGCAAGTAAGAGTAGGCAGGTGCATCCAAAGAGTCAGTTCCAAGTCATGCCATCTCAATTGATTCAAGCTTAAAAAAAGCAACACCTCGTAAACACAGAACTTTATATACACAGAAGTTCTGATTTCTTCACACACTTAATCAAATTCAGAGCACTGGGGAAAAAATTTTATAAGACTTTCAGTTCATATTCAATACAGTATCGTCTGTGAAATTAAAAATAAATGTTCAGTGAACTTGTATCCAATTAAGTGCTTTCTCAAGTCAAAAGACAACCCAGTTAAACATCTCAACTCTTCTTCATTGCATGAGCAACAAGATCTATGCAGGATCACTTGCTCACGCGCTTACATCAGTCAATTACACGTAAGTTCTTAATTTTCTTTTTAAAATAATCCTCATGTACTGATTGCTCGATTCTCTTTTAGATTTTTACACTGTCCAGTTAACCAGTTTATTTTTTTACTAAGGACCTTTCATTTCTTTCTAAGTACATAACATGAATCCTACTCCACTATCAATATTTTTTCCTGTTAATTGTTGATACAGCAGAAGGTTTGAGGAGTTATCTTAAAACAGAATTTATGTCAATATTCAAATAGCAAACATCTAGTTTTAGCACAAATCAGATATGCCAAAAGGCAAGACAGACCAAGGGAATTGTTTCCTCTATTCCCTGTTCTTCAGAAGTGTCCCTGCAAAAACACGTCATGTCTATTGCTGCAGGTTTCCTGCGATATATTTACAGAAAAAACAATCACATATATTGTATTTTCACATCAGAGCTTGAGACCTTAATTGCTCTGAATCATGACTTCCTGAACTTGAACAGGGCTCTCCCTTGTTTCAGGATAATCCAACCTCCTGGCCTAGCCAGCAAAAACTCTGATTAGCTTCCCCTCTGATATTCAGTCATGAACAGCACAGCTTGGTCATGACTGTTAATCTTTTGGTATTGTCTGCAGCATGTGAACTGCAGCATGAAACAAAGCTGTCTAAACGGACAACAAAAAGCAGCACCAGAGAATAACCTTTTTGAAATACTGGAACAGCAGACATACTCAAAATACAATGGGACTGTGAGAAAAGAAATAAAACATGAACCTCAGGGACAGACAGAAGGTGACAAAGCACAGAGAACAGCACAGCAGTCAACTAGCACAGCACCAAATTCATCTGCCTGCTCTTTGCACCATCAGGACAAGAGAGCTCTGAAGACATACAGCACGTTATATAGCAGGATCAAGCAGACTTTACTGCTGTCTAGTGATGGCACTCCCAGACTAGCTGAAAAACAATTCTACATTCCAGGAAAAGATACTGGACTTCCTCAGTTAGAGGAACAATCATCATAATACAGGATTTTGGAAATTATAGGAAAACAAGAGGAAAACTAACACATCTCTGCTTCTAAACAAGATTTTCTAAGTGTTTCCTTTGTTCAGTAATGAAGACAGAAAAAATGAGATGTTCATAACAAATGTAGGAAGTGTAAATCAAAGGGAGTTTACCGAGTCCAGTAAGTAAGCAAGGGGAGGCAGAACAACACTGCAGAAGAGCAATAGCTTTAATGTAAATTGACATTAATTTAATGGAAATTCTGGTCTTCATCAATTTAACAGCATTTTCAGTCAGAAGAAATTAGACAAAAATTCTGCTTCTTTAAGTGTCTGAATCATCAATTTTAAAAATAAAACCACAAACCATAGGATACTTTCTGTTGACATCATAAATATTATAAAAATCCTCTTACCTCAAGTATCAGCTTCTTACTTGATACATCAAGCATCAACAAATTTAAAGTTTAAAGCCAGGAAAACTAGGAGGACAATTGTGAGATTTGAACTCCCTCCCTGCCAATTAAAATAGCTAGTGGTATTTCCATTTGCATGACCTTTTTCATAAATACAAGTTTTGCTTACCTGATGCCGAGTTCATGATGTTCTGCTGCACGGAAGGACTGGTGGGAGCTGTAACATTCATCTGGGAAAGCATGGCCTTCCTAGGATCTTGCCATGTTGTTGTCTGATCAATGTGACTAAGACAAAACAAAGCGAGAGTTAGGACAGTCAAGCATTCACAACAATGACCTGCTAGCAAGAAAGTTTAACAACAACAGGTTAAGCCTGCCAACAACAGCCACGTTCAAAATGAAGCAAGAGCTGTTTGGACTCTTTCCAAGCCTCACAGTATGTTAGATTCTCAAACCCTTACTCTCGCCACCATCGCTTCTTCAACAACCAGCTGTGGCGATCAGAGCTAGAGCAGTAATGGGATAAGGCTCAGTGTGAATATCGTGATCTAGACTGTTGCAGCATAACTAGATGTCGTACCCTTGAACTAAATACTCTCCTCTTTTTCTCATTGATCAGTTACTTGTCATTTTTAAAGGTGACTTCAGAGACTTTCAATCCAAGCCAGTCATGTCTGGCATCTCAAGTGCAGTCGAGTAACTGGGCATGAGGAATTCATATTCAGTGCCTAGGGAGTTGTAATGAACTGGCTAGTGAGTAATCGTTCGTGTTCCCAAACTTTCTGTGCATAGACCACATCCTCAGATTATCTGATGGACTGCTCCCCTCACCACTGACAATCGAACAATCTCTCCGTGGTAATTTAAGAAACCAGTCACACTACAGCAGTAATGCCAGAGGGATATGCAGCTGCCTTTCAACTTCACGTGAAAAGATGAGGACAGCTGGACTGTCAGGTAACCCAACTTGTCCTTTGCAGAACCTAATCACAAAACTTGGGTAGCTTAGATTTATCTGTTTTGAAAAAACTGGAAAGTACATTCAGCACTGTCATTCACAAAAGTATTCAATTTAATCAAAATACAAAAGTAATGAATGATTACTTCACCTTTTGAATACGTGATTAGCGTGTTTTGCTAAGGAATAACAAATTCGTAACAAGCATCATTGTTCTCTCGATGCCACTAAGTAACATTGCTTCCAGAAGTACACGTGGACACAAATAAAACTACCAATACACACTGAGCACTGACAACAAAGGTTGTTATCGATTCATTTACAACTAGTAACAAAACTCATATTCCAATAGTATTGTTATTAATTAGAATCCAATGCATGATTAACTTGGCACCATTCTTTCCTTATGTTAATAATCCTTAAAGTTACTTTTTTTCTGAATACATGGAATGCCCATATAAGAGAAATTAATATACGTTTTATTGGTGATCTGAGTTCAAAACTAGGTACTCCAACTCATACCTCTGCTTTGTATCTGTATCTTGCATTGTGTTTTGTATGTATCTTGGTGGATCTATATGCATTTGTACTGAAATATCAATTAGGCTGTAAATTTTCCACCTTTTGTTGGGATTTAATAATAACTGTGCAGCAACTGTCTCCAATTCACAGTTTCTCTTTTTTAAGGCATATTCAAGTTTAGGAGCTGGTACTGTATTATTTTAGACATTCTCAAGGGATAAATAATTCAGATTTGGTCACCTCAACACCAGCACCTCTGGGGACACTGACAACTGACCTTCTCTCCACCAACGAGAAAGGAACCTAAATAAGCACTATTAGGATGTAATTCATTTGGTCAATTTAAGGAACATATTGAAGGTGAGTCAGACCTATTTTCTCCTTCAAGAAAGGAACCTAAGTTAAATAGGTCACATACATTGGTATTAGAAGAGTTGAATCCCAAACATCGTTTGTGTATTTGCATGATGACAACACCCAAGAACTCTGGTCATAAATTAAGACTTCATCATAGGTCAAACTGGACAAACAAAACATAATATTATTTTCTCACTGCTCTAAGCAACTAATTGCTATGCCTAGAAACTTAGTAATGAAACCCTTGACTCCAATTAATAAAAATGTGCTCCACTGAATTAGTGTTTTTAACATGTTCTTTGATGTTCAAAAAGTTGGTATTTTCCCCTCAAAACCACTATATTTTGTAAGTACTTCATCATTTCAAATGAGTGAGAATCAATAGATAGAAATTCAGAAGACCATAAAATGGGGCAGTAGTCAAAATAATTACTTACGTAGAATTATTTATCACATTCTAATAATCGAAAGGACTTTCTGTTATAAGGTAGAAGGTATCACAAAGTGGCTTTAAAAAAAGTTTTGGTTTAAGATATGTATATTTTATCATCTGTAAACATGCACACAAACAATTCCAGAGTTACAGATATACAAAAGGGTCAGGGTCACAAAATAGGCAGGAATGTTATTTGTACAAAAATATCCCAATACACAAAGCTCTACTTTGCCTGCATGTGGCAACTACTGTCAGTTTTCCCTTGTGTACAGGAACCTCCCCCCCCTTACTGCAGCATTACTTAAAATGGTGTCACTGCCACGTTACGTTCCTCGATGCAGCTCATTTAATACAAGTACAACATATTAAGCACACCGTGTCTTTGGTTGCATGTGTTTTCCAATATCCAGCTCCACTGAGAAACATGCCACACACAGCAAGACTTCTTTACTTCCTTTTTAGCCTATTTACTTACTAAACAGGGCACAACATTGTAAAGACTGCCTTATATTTACTGGACTATACATAAACTTTCACACTGGAGAACATTTTCTTCACTTTTCTGCTAGCCAATTTTGTAAAGCAATGAGAGCCAGTAAAGAGAACACAGATGTAAAAACACTGCACAGTAATGCTTCAGAGACTGTGTTTAAAATACAGTACCTGCATGAGCTACCCCTCCCCTCTATTTCTGATTTGTTGTATTTGCTTAACTCAGTTCTGGGAACAGTGGAAACTGGGAAAACACCACAGTATCCATGATTACACCTTTGTTTATTTGCATTTAACTCCTACGAAAAAAAAAAAAAAGTAATATTATGAACTTACAAAACGCCTACTTAAGGTACATATTTTATAGCCTTTGTTTTTATACGCTATTTGAGTGTAGCGTAAGAAACAGAAGGAAAAAAGTTGTCTCACTGCATCACAGAATCATTTTTGCAGTTAACTGTAGGAACACAATGAAACAACATTCACCAGCTTTTCCAAACATATCTGAATACGGGATAGATGAATGGACTATGGAAGAAGCAATTTTAAAAACACATCCAATTTTGAGCATAAGGACAGCATTATTGATTCCTCAAGACTGCTTAAGCACACCACGCAAAGTATAGCTGACATTCACACGGAGTTGTTAACAGGGACAGCTAGTTTAGGCAGCAGCAGCTTCCAACTTTTCCCTAGCTGAGTATCACGTGAGAAAAGTCAGCGTGTTCCTTGTTTTACCAACTAAACTCCAAACAGGAGTCGTCTTACAGCAAAGAGCCACAGAAGAGAAGTCTCAAAATATTTAAGTCGATTATGTCACACTAATCATAAGGCTGGTTCAATAAGGCAAACTCTTTGTCCTCCCACTCAGCTCTGTGCTTCCTGACCTACATATCCATTTCCCCCTACACCTTCCCTCAAAACCTTTCTCTTCGACCTCCATCAAACCACAGTCTTACGTGTATCTCACCTGCTCCATATCCTGAGCGTTCAAATGCGAGATACCAAGAAACCACCCAAAACGCACCACAACAGATCAGTTCTTTCCCACCACTTCCCAATCGTGCTCATCAACTTACAAAGCAGGCAATCCCCCCACTCACATGCATGGAATGTTTCAACCAATCCGAATACTACAGGAAGGAATAGAGGCCTTCGTTTTGTTTGGCACTTGCAGCATGTGCACAAGAGTCACTTACTACAAACCCTGTTTGCTTCTCATTATCGATTTAAGTATGGAAACAGGATGCTCTCCACAGGTAAAGATATTTTCCTCTGTTTTCAATAGCAGCACCGAAAAGGTCTAAATAGACATAACAAGAACTCTGACACCAACATTACATTATCTTTCACTGCACTAAACAGATTTTTCCACAGGAGCTGCATTACAAGGCAACTGCCCTAATCCTTACATTCAATATCTTCTATTTTACATGACCAGAGCCATATCTTGATAAAGCACTACTGTCAACTTCAACATTTTAAAAAATTTAGTACGGTATCAAATTAAACTTAAATTCTACCTACTCATGAACCAGAACCACAGCTCTGTACTGTGTGCACAGAACACAATAAGTAGTCTTGGAACTAAAATCAATTATCTCTAGGACAAATCAAGGAACATAAGATGTTTTACTTGATTGAATAAATTCTCAAGTCCAACACCTAGCAACCTGACACTATCTATTATTGTTCATTTGTGTCTAGGTGAAGTAAATCCATGTTAAATCAGACGAATGTGGTAGAAACTAAGGAAATCCACTTCAACTGCACCATAAACGTAGGTCTGTGGTAACAAGCCTTAGAAAAATAAAGCTAAAACACCCAGAACATGTTAAATATTTGTTAGCAAACATGTCAATCCTGGTTTCAAGAAGAGTGACTGTTCCAAGCCACTCAATCAAAAAGCACTTTCAAAGTGCTATGCATTATGAAGAGAATCAAGCTGCCTTTCTCCACCTATCCCCAAGTTTTAGAGTCATATACAAATTATTTACACATTGATAAGAACGACTCCAAAGGAAAGAAAAATGTTCTCATTTTACACACGCAAAAGGCATCTCTGCAGTTACTGAGAATCAGAATTTCTAATCTAAAGAAATCTTTATTGGCATTAAACACTAACACATGCGTGAAGATTTGTCAGATTCAGTTTCTAACCTAATTTTAAAGAATTGGTGGTTTGGATTTGGGGGGTTGGTTGGTTTGTTGGGTTTTGGTTTTTTATGGTGTTTTGTTCTTGTTTGAGTTTGGTTTTTTTTTTAAGTACAATGGAAAAGTAGTAGGAGATCCAAAGACAAAAAAACCCATATTTGTTACTTTTTATTGAAAATAACCTTTAGATACTAATAGACTAATAAAATAACGCCCTTCCTAAAAACAGAACTGATCTGCCTTTGTATCTTCACATTTGTACTCCAGCTGCTGCACTGAAAAGACAAGAACCGTATTACTGAAAGCCATGTCAGAAATGAACTAACACACAAAAGACACTCAAAAAATCACTTAAATTCTTCGAGAAT